GTCCTATCAAAAATTCTCGAAAATCTCCACTATACCTTTAAGAAAGGGGATTAGACAAGAATTTACCCTGAGTTTATTTAGTAAACAAAATATTGCCAAAAGGGTTTGTCTATTTTAACAATTACCTACATGAAGAATTGTATGGCCAAGTTCCTGATGACGCCCTGGTCCCAGCAATAGCAGTTTAACTACTGTGTAAATTATTTTCACAGAGTTTGGAATCACATGAGAAAACATGAAATGTAGCATTTGCTCTAATTTGTCCCAAAGGGACTCTGTAATATTGTAGTCAGGTTCCAGTGCTGCTTCCAGAGCCTAAACTTTCTTTGCAAACATCCAGTAATTAGAACATCCCGAGTCATTGATTTGGTGATATGATCCAAGAATTTTGGTAGTACGCTGTACGTCAACCACAGGTGACAAATGAGGCATATCTTGTAACCACCGACAAGTCTGTAACATATTTTAATGTTCTTAGAGCTCTATCTCATTTATGTTTAACAGCATCTCTTTGTTTCCACCCATCAGTTCCCACTGTATGAAAGACATGCAGACACATATTATGGATTGGGTGGACCCTGCCTCTGACGGCTGCCCAATCCTCTTTGAACCTGTTCCTCATGGTTCCCCCTGCAGGATATGGTTGTTCTAAAAAAATAGGTTTTTAATTTTCATTTAAAATAACTAAGGCTTTTAGAAATCTTAGAGGCTTCAGGCTTGAATCAAATACCAGAAACAAAGGGTCTCGCTGATTTTATACCATTATAAAACCAGAGTAACAATTAACCTATTATCTAGAGTAACCATGAATGAGGTATCTGTAAATTACCAGATGAATCTATAGCGTGACCAAAATGTTATGGTGTAACTGAATTTCCCAGACGGGAGAACATGACAAATGGTTTGGACAACTTAGAAATAAAATTAAACTATATGACACAACTGTGGGATGAAGACACCTCCTGCAGTTGGTACGATGTCATGGTTTCTGTCTGTCCCTCTGAACACTAGAGGCAATCTTCTAAATAAACAACGTCAGAAAAATAGGGCAACTCCAGCTGTTATCTACAGGGCCACCTGATATTCTTATAGTGACTCACAGATTACAAAGCCTCAGCCTAGACAGATGCAAAAAAAAGATCTTCAGCAACGGTTCTCTATCACTCAGTTCCCTCTGGCCAAAAAACAGTTTAAACCAGGGAACAATCAGCTTTTAGTGGCAGTGGGAACAGCTCACTGATGCGTGTCTACCCAGGTCAAAGGACTCGGCAAGCGACCCTCATTAAAATTGCCTTGATTCTGATTGGCATGCCACTAAATTATCTGATACCACTGATTACAAAGTAATAACGTCAACACAACCCGCCATTCGCTTCTGATCTAACAAGCCAAAACAACTCTGTTTAGAGTCGTAAAACATGGAGCAACACTGGTGAGAGAGATTAGGACAGATAATAGGGTGAAACAATACAGTACTATTGCTATGTCCTAGTTTCCTTACATGTTGCTCTCCATTGTTTACTTTCCTGATTTCTGTCGCACTGCCATCACACGGTGTTAGCGTTGATGATGTCACCAGACATGCCGTGGCAGGGGCACAGAGACCTTGCAGCTTGCTAGCTGGGAGCAAGGGAGCCAAATGCCGATTTTTAGACCCATGTTTGAAAAAAGTGGGAAAGAGGCTCATGATATGATATTTTACTAATTCAAATCTCTAGGAGCAGGAAACCTCCGAGGACAGAAAAAAGCCCACAAAACCTAGATTTAGTGAAAACAGGAATGAGAAACATTTTTCCAAAACATTTCAAACATTTCTAAATAATATTGAGGAAAAGAAAATGATTAGGATGCCTATTTATTTTCAAAACTAAACTATGAAAACAGTATGGAAAAGGGGGATATATTAAATTAAGTGGTGTTTTGTAATTCTAATAAGGTTGCAATGAAAGAGGTTAGAGCTAACACCATGACCGTCACAATCATGTAAATCAGCAACTACTCCTAAGAAATAGACCAAAACGAAGGCTAGGGAAAGGCTGTGTTAGATGTTGTTTGCTGTAAGACTGTATTGTTCATAATTTACCAAATATGATCAAACCACTCTAAAGTTAACACATTCTTAAAGTTAACCTAATAAAAGAATTAAGCTGACCTTTTCTTAACAGTTTCTTGATTTCAGATGATTAGTGGAAAATCTTTGTACCACTCACTTTACCTTGATCAAGTGATAAAGAAAGACTCAGGACACTCAGGTGAATCATGTAGATGAAAAGCAAACTTTAAAGACTGTTTATAAAAATTTGCTTCTAACCAGCTCATTATCTGCAATCTTTTCCCTAGAACATTGGACAGTTCAAGTTATTAAAGAACTAACAGGGCAGCAATTGCAAACCTGATATTTAATGTCTGCCAATAATCTGCCTGTTTCCGTATGACTTCCCAGTTATTATGGACCAATTATGAGATAACAGCCTGTGTACTGTGACATCTGCTGAGAAATAAGAGGTAAGGGCTATTCATTATGACATTGGTATGAAGGGCAACAATGAAAAACATACTTTTTTATTTTTTTGGAGGGAGAATAATCAAGAAATTTCCCAAGAACAATGTTTGGGTGGCCAGCTGGAGCGTGTGGTTAACTGGTGATGAAGCTCCTCAAAATGACAGCACAACCTATTTCATGATCACACTGATATTAATATCAAACATAAAAAAAACACATGTCAACAGATGAGTAAAATCATATTTGTTACAACTGGCCAATATCCAGTTTTTAAACTAAAGTAAAAATTTCTTTCTCTGTCTTCTGTTTTTCTCCATTTCTCCTTAGTCTCAGCTCCACTCACTCCAATGTTACCCCCTGCTTCTTTAGAACAAGCGTTTTAGCCAAAGTAATAAGGTCGTCTGAATCTAAATGTTAATGTGTTTTTTATTTCACTGACTAAAGTGGAAATAAATAAAATGTGTGACATGTCTACTTACTGGAGTTCAGTTATTTGTGCTTAACAGACACAGGTTGTTCCTCTCCTCTTCTACCTGTCTGCTTTCCACTATTGTTCCTTCGTCTACATTGGGCTTAACCATTGTACCTACAATGATCTGCGGCTTGACCTTGTTGATGCACCAACAAATCTAGTAAGAACAGTACCCCAAAGAATGTTTGAATACTCTGTGCCATGTAACATCAAAATGCCTCGGTCTGAACTTTTAAAGATAATTTACTCCCAGGGCTAATTGAGAGGAGCCAAGAGAAAAAAAAATCTTTCAAATCCCTGAAATATGTGAACTAAATTAACGTTTTTCTACTGTTGGCACCCCTCTACGGCATTTAGAAAGAGGCAGTGCAAGATCAACTTTCATTGGAAGTATCTTAAAAACACGAAGGTAAAAATATATATTTCTCTAGAGTAATACTCCAGTTTGATGGTTCGGGGATGTTTTGCTACAGCAGCAGGACCTGGTCAGATCTGATCGTATGAGATCGTATTTTTTTTAGAATAAAAGGGTATGGTATGATTAAGCCAACGCAAAACTTCTGAATGTATATTGATCCTTTGGTCTAAGATGTGATAAACTGTATATGTAAAAATCATTTAAACATTTCAAACCTGAATATGAAGCTAATGTCAGACTTGATGCATTAATGTGTGTTGAGAGCAAAGCTTGTTATCATACTGATGGTGATTGAGTTGGATGTTACCTCAAAATGAGCAACCCTATCAACTTACAGAAGATTCCCTATGAAGAGCCTTTGCACATTTGGAGGAATGTGGAAATTTTAACAGTCTCAATATTACCTGATTACCTCAGATTATTTATAGCTGCTTAAATATTTTTTTCATTATACAGTAGAGCTTTCCAGGAGTTGAATTGGAAAATGTATATAATCCATGACAGTGTTCTGAGTTGTTTCAGACCTGAATATCACATCCTGTTACAAGTCTGGATAGTCTGTGCACACTTCAGTGGTGAGTAAATTAGGTTTTTAATTCAGATTAAATTAGCATAAAGAGATTGTAATAGAGTTAAAAAGATTTAAGTAGGTTAACAATCAATCACATTGTAGAGACATTTAGTAGACAGCTCCTTTCCAACAGGAGTGTAAAGTTTAATAAAATAAAACTAAAGCTAAAAATAAAACGTGTCAGTAATCCTATTAATTGGATTAAATGAATCTGTATTAAACGTCACTTCCAGAATTTGAACAGTTTCTCTGTTGATGTAACAGTTTTTGGATTTATGCCCTGTTCAGATTAACTGAACTGATGTAAGCATGAGAAAGTGTTGGATTATGCTTTCAGGAAGCACAGGAAACAATAAACCGGTGCTTAATCTGCAAAAACAGAATCAAACCAAACAAAAGCAGAAATAAATTAAGAGAGGTAAAACAACTGTGAATAACAGGACGTGTTTCCATAACATGATCACACAAAAAACAATGGAGGGACTCAGGTGACCCTTCCCCTCTGACACTGCTTAGTGACACCATTTCCCTCCTCAGTCAAGCAAAAAAAGCCTCAGGCATCAGCTCTGCCTCACTCTTTTTAACTGAAAAGCTTGTGCAATGTTTAGAGAGGTTTAAACACAAAATTAACCAATTGCTTTTATAAATAAAATTTAAAGGAGATTATTAAAAGTGCCCCAACCCCCCTAAAACCCTGTGTGACCCAAAAAATGTCCACTAATCCCAATGCCTCTATTATGAATTAATAGATTAATCTATTATCAATTTTTCATGAAAACAGACTTTTAATAAGAAAAAAAAAAGAACACCAAACAAAAAACTGGTGGAAGGCAGAGATAAATATTTCTAATACTATAGAAAATGTGTTGTTAAACCAAAAGCCTTGAGCTACTGGGGAGAACAGTAGTTACCCCTGGTAGCTCACTCACTCTTTGAAAGGTATGGGGTTTGAATATTAACCTTGGCTGCTGTGTTCCCTTTTTAAGCAAATAGAAACTACAGTAGCTTCAGAAAAGGCGACCGATTTATCCCTTACCTTATCAGATTTTGCAAACCCTGCTTACTGGAGTTCCTCCTCAACAGAGCGTTGGACATGTTTGCCTCTGTCCTGCTTGTAGTTGTCCTGTCCTTGTAGGCACACACTGGGAGAAATAAAAGTGATTACAGCAGCCACTGATATCACTACTCTCTCTCTCTCTGTTCCTCTAAAATCAACCCCCGAAACTAGTTTTTATCCTGAAGTTGTGCCAAATTAAAACAGCACTAGAGCATGTGAGAATATGTTGAGCAAATCCTTGAGCACACACACAGTCCTAACCCTAACAGAGCTTGTTGGGAATGTCAGCAAAGCTCAACAAGACTGTAGCTCCTTTTTCTCATGGGGGCCGGATCTTTTGTCCTTACACTCCCCCCGCTTAAACACACCCGTCACCCCTCCCTCTGCCCTACATGTGGTTCTCATTGAAGAGCTCAGGGCAGCAGGACTCAGAATCTCTCTTCTTACTCCTTACTCCATCTTCATCTGTTATTTTAGCCAATGTGATTTTCCCTTGTGTATAATAAAAGAGAAAGGCCTGTCCATAAAAAAGAACCTACTTCTCTGGGTCTTCAAGCTTCCGGACTTTTTATTTTGTTCCCTTTTAATGTATTATCAGAAGAAATAATAATGATAAAAAAAAAACATTTTGAACTTTATTGATATCCCATTAGAGAGGGTTACCTCGGCATTGAACCATCCACTTGGGGAGCAGTGGGCTTTCATCACAGGGTGCCCAGGGAGCAATGTGAGGTTAAGGGTCTTGCTCAGAGACCCAGTGTGGCAGTCTGAGGGAGTGGTGCTCGAGCTCAGAACCACAGGATTCCAAGCTCTATGCCCTCACCACTAGGCTGCCACTCCCCACCTTAAAGACAGAATAGAAGTGTTGAAAACACTAACTGTATAAATATTAAAAGCTCTGTTACTACAAATACAGCAGTGAGTGTTAAAAAAAAATTATACTTTTTTTAATGATGATGTTGGATGTATTGCTTTAAACATGAACCTAATGTTATCCCTTATTACTAGAACACTGAAAAAGTTTTGTAAAAAGTCATCAGATCCTCCAAAATAATCGAAGAGTTTGGATGAAAATGCTGAAAAAATATATATAAAGAGGATATTTCCTATTTTCAGCTTTCTTGGACCGGTGTCACATTCAAGACCCATCCATCCATCAATTTTCATGTATCCCTGCTGGGGTTGCGAGGGGTTCTGGTGCCTAAATCCAGCTGTCAACGGATGAGAGCCTGGACAAGTCCCCAGTCAATCGCAGGGCAACACAGAGACAAACAGGACAAACAACCATTCCTGCACACACTCACAGCTAAGGGGAATTTAGAGCAGCCAATTACCCTAACAGTCATCTTTTTGGACTGTGGGAGGAAGCAGGAGTACCCAGAGAGAACTCACGTATGCACAGTGAGAACATGCAAACTCCATGCAGAAAGACCCTGAGCTTGGAATCGAACCCGGGACCTTCTTGCTGCACTACCACTGCCACATTTAAGAACCTTCCTATAAAATGCAAAAAGCTAAGTTTGCTAAACTTATTTCAAAGATTTGGTTGTTGATTAGCTTCCCGTATTGTAATCTCTTTTCTATCTCTTTACTATCTTTACTACTTTACTACATATATATATACACTGCCTGGCCAAAAAAAAAGTCGCCACCTGGATTCAACTAAGCAAATAGGGACGAGCCTCCTATTGGATAATTACTTCTCGGAGATTATCTTTCAGCTGGCAACAAGTTATTTAACCCCAACTGGTGCAATGACTTGCTTCTCATTTCCTTAACAACCATGTCGAAAGACACATCCCGTGGTCGTGGAAAAGATGTTAGTCTGTTTGAGAATGGTCAAATCATTGGCATGCATCAAGCAGAGAAAACATCTAAAGAGATTGCAGAAACTAGTAAAATTGGGTTAAGAACTGTCCAACGCATTATTAAAAACTGGAAGGATATTGGGGACCCATCAGCTTCAAGGAACAAATGTGGCCGGAAAAAAATCCTGAATGATCGTGATGTGGTGAGATCAAATCGAAGAAAAACAACAGTAGAACTCAGGGCTATGTTTAATACTGAAAGTAAGAGCATTTCCACAGGCACAATGCGAAGGGAACTCAAGGGATTGGGACTGAACAGCTGTGTAGCCGTAAGAAAACCACTAATCAGTGAGGCTAACCGGGAAAAAAAGGCTTCAATTTGCTAGGGAGCATAAAGATTGGACTGTGGAGCAATGGAAGAAGGTCATGTGGTCTGATTAGTCCAGATTTACCCTGTTCCACAGTGATGGGCAAATCAAGGTAAGAAGAGAGGCAGGTGAAGTGATGTACCCACCATGCCTAGTGCCTACTGTACAAGCCTGTGGGGGCGCTGTTATGATCTGGGGTTGCTGCAGTTGGTCAGGTCTAGGTTCAGCGACAGTATGTGCTCAAAGAATGAGGTCAACTGACTATCTGAATATACTGAATGACCAGGTTATTCCATCAATGGACTTTTTCTTCCCTGATGGCACAGGCATATTTCAAGATGACAATGCCAGGATTCATCGGGCTCAAATTGTGAAAGACTGGTTAAGGGAGCATGACACATCATTTTCACACATGGATTGGCCACCACAGAGTCCAGACCTAAACCCCATTGAGAATCTTTGGGATGTGCTAGAGAGGGCTTTGCGTAGCGGTCAGACTCTACCATCATCATTGCAAGATTTTGGTGAAAAATTTATGCAACACTGGATGGACATAAACCTTTTGACATTGCAGAAGCTTATCGAAACAATGCCACAGCGAATGCGTGCCGTAATCAAAGCTAAAGGCGGTCCAACAAAGTATTAGAGTGATGACCTTTTTTTTTGGTGGCAACTTTTTTTTGGGCCAGGCACTGTATATATATATATATATCAGTGGCGGCCGGCCCATAGGGGGCGCTGGGGCACCGCCCTCCCTGATAAGAAGAGAGAAACGTAAAATATATTTTTAGAAATTAACTCATAAATGTCAGTTTTACTCTCTAGAGTGTGTAGCTATAAGCAAAACAAATTATATAAACTACATTTCCCTACCTACTGTCATTAATTTGTGGATTTCCACACAGACAGACTCCTACCGTCTCTGTCTTGGGGCGCTGATTAGACTGACCCACATTTGCAGAGAATCTGTCAATCATGTACTATTTGCTAGGTGAATTTAATGGCCAATCAGCGTCTCAGAACTTTATGGTCTTGGGGCGCTGAAAATACTGCGCTTTAGAAGCCCAATGCGCAGGTGCAGACAATTAGAGGGACAATGGCGAACCACGTAACGAGCGAGATGCAGCTTCCACCAAATTCGGTGAGATCATTTTTTATTCACCTGTTTGCCAGAAGAACAATGGAGGAGAAAATCCTGATTAAAGAGTTGGGACCAGACAAGCCTGACCTTATCATCAACCAGCAGACTAAGGAAAAAAATAAAGTCTACAATAGGAGTTTTTGCAGGAGTTGGTTCGCGCGCAAGTCGTGGTTGACAGGCTGTGGAATGGCCAATGCACTTTTCTGTTTTCCTTGTATTCTTTTTAAAAATGAAAAGTGTGATTTAAGGTGGACACAGTCAGGACAAACCGATTTGAAGCACCTCTCCGAACGTATCAAGAAGCATGAACGATCAAGAGTTCATATGGAAAATTGCATCAAGCTAGCTGTGCTCGGAAAAATTAGCATAAAAGTGCAGCTGGATGACGGACAACGCGTTGCGGTAAGAAGGCATAATGAAGAGGTTGATAAGAATCGTCATATTTTATCTAAACTCATTGACTGTATTAAGTTTTGTGGTGCTTTTGAACTGGCATTGCGGGGACATGATGAAAGGGATACTTCTGAAAACCCCGGAATTTTCAGAGGTTTAGTCGACTTAATGGCGACCATTGACCGAGACTTACATGAGCACCTCGAAAGTGCAACCGTCTTTAGAGGCACCTCAAAGACTGTACAAAATGAGTTACTGGACTGTATGCTCGGTGTTCTGAGAGAAAAAATCTTGTATGAAGTAAAATCAGCGGACTTTTTAGCCATCCAAGCTGATGAAACTACTGACATTTCCACACACTGTCAGTCAGTGTTGGTGCTGCGATACGTTGACAGAACCCATAACATCCAGGAGCGTTTCTTTGAGTTTATTAAGCTCTCCAATGCCAACGCGGACGCAATTGCCAGTGCTTTATTGGAAAGACTGCGCACTATTCTTCCCGAGGGACAAGAAAAGAAGCTGATCGCCCAGGCCTATGACGGGGCATCAGTGATGAGGGGTGCCACTGGAGGAGTTCAGCGCAAGGTCCTAGACGCCTATGGAAATGCTCACTACGTTCACTGTTATGCCCACCAGTTAAACCTAGTGATGCAACAAGCAACATCCCACATCCCACAGATAAGTCACTTTTTTTCTGATGTCGGGGGGTTTTCTTCCTTTTTTTCCAAGTCAAGAAAGAGAACCGCAGTGCTTGATGAGGTGGTGGCGCATCGTCTTCCAAGTGCATCAGCAACACGCTGGAACTTCAACAGTCGCGCTGTTAACACAGTGTATGAACACAAGGCTTATCTGGTGAAGTGTTTCGAGACCATCCGGAACAGAGCTGAATTTGACGGCCCTACAAAGAGAGAGGCTGGCGGCTATGTGAGAATGCTGGAAGATGATGCTTTCTGTTTTTTCCTGGCCCTCTTTCACAAAATAATGCCACATGTGGACATGCTGTACAACCAGATGCAAAAAAGAAACACCGATTCTGTCTACATCTCAGGAATCATCCAGAGATTCACTGACAACATGCAAGCTATCAGGTAAGCTACAGTATGCATCTGATCTGCCTACAGTATTGCACAAACATAAATTTTCTTTGAGTAGACTTGTTCAGCTCTTAATGTTTATATCTCATCTTATTTATTGAATTTCCCTTCAGGGATTAAAAAAGTATTTTTCATTTTATTGAAACAACGAATTTATCTGTTACATTTAGACAAATTTGAAATGCTCAAACACAGTGACTTAATATATAATTCTGTACCATGTTGGTATGGAGGATAAAAAGTGCCAAAATTAAATAAATAAATAAAGCATTAATTAAATAATTAAATGTGTCAATAATTAATTAAATGTGGAATTAAATAAATAAATAAGGAATTAAATATATAAATGTGTCATTAATTTAATAAAATACGTCTTCATTTTATTAAAAAAATATATATAATTATTTCAGTGTGCATTTAATTATTTAATTATTTCATGGTGAAATAATAAAATGCACACTGAAATAATCATATATATTTTTTTTAATAAAATGAAGACGTATT